AAATCATCCTTGTTTTGTTTTCAAACTTTTATGATTTGTTTTGTTTCCAATCATAATTTTCTTCGTTTTGTTGTTTATCGCTGCCGAAATAGCATCATTTTTAGTTTCTTTCAGCTTTCCTTCTCTATGACCAGCAAATGAATTATTTAGTATTTCCCGTTTGAAAAAAAAAAACAAAAAATAACACTCACTCGACATTCATAAACAATAAAAATCAATCAAATTATAACAACAACAACAACAGCAACAAGAATAATTTGATTATTAACCCTCCAGCTCCCCCTTTCTACAAAAAAAAAATTCTCAAATTGAAAAAAAACGGGTTATCATTCAAAATGTCCAGAAATTATTCTCTTTTTTTCTATTTGGTTCAGAAATAATTGACGTCATCAGCAAAAAAAGAAAAAAGGTAACAATTTTGATCATTTCTGATGATTAAAAAATAAAAAAAGTTACAAACAACAAGCAACAACAACAAAATTTCCGTTCACTTTCCAAATGTATAATTTTCGGTTGATTTTCAATTTTCCTTTCTTTTCAATTCCTACAAACGACAACAACAACAACAACACATGTCCAAAAACACAAAAGAAAAAAAATAACATGAATGACGAAAACTCGAAAAGAAGAAAAGAAAAAATGAAAATAATTATCACTAATGAAAACAACAAGGGAAAAAAGATAAAGCTTTGACGATATTCAATCCAATATTCATCATCATCATGTTTTTTGTATAGTTTTTTCGAAATGAATTAATCATACTTGTTATCGACAACTACTGTATTTAGAAAGAAAGAAAAAATGTTTTATGAAAAGGATTTTCTCTTCTTTTTGCGGTCTGATTAACAACACACAAAAAACACAGAAACTCGGAAATTCGTAAATTTGTAACAATGTTTGTAACAAACTTGTAACAATAATAAAAATGACCACACAGAAAAAAATCCATAAATGATACATTTATTATTTGAAAATTGGGATATCAATGATGATTCTTTTGATTTCTTTTTGGCTTTTTTCATATCATCATATGGTCACCGAACAAAAACAGAATCCTTTTATTCTTTATTCTCTATGGTTATGTTTCTTTTGTTCAACCAAACAACCAAACAACCAAAAAGAATCTTTTCAAAACATTCAAAAAATGATTTTTTTTGTTTGTTCCATAATGAAAACTTTGTCATCATCATGTGTTATTTGAAACAAAAAAAAAATTAGTCGCTCCCTCTCCTCATATTTCTTTTTGTTTGGGGTTTTTGAATGAAAAATTTTTGTCAACTTTGCTTGTTGTTGAAAACTTTGGAATTTCTTTTTGAAAAGATTATTTTTTCTTTGGAAATTCTCGAGAATAACGATAATAAACAGAACAGAGAAACATGTTCATACAGATTCTGTATACAGAATGTCATGAATAATATGCACAAACACGGACATACTGTATGTATACATGCATACACCCCTTATTATTATTATGGCGAATAATGACAAAACAAAAATCGTTTTCATTTTTTGGTAATTTTCAGATAATTATTACCGAAGATAAATAAATAAATAAATCGATAAAGTTTATAATGGATGGCCCTATTGTTTTTTGCTTTTTGTTTTCTGGCCAAAAAAAAGACATTCCAACAAACAAAATCTCTCTATGTCTTTGTCTATTTTCATTGTCGAAATAGGATACCAAACCAAACAACAACAACAACAAAAAATCGATTGATTTTTCATTTTTCGTTACCGAATCAACAACAACAACAAAAAACCAATGTTATCGGTTCGGGTTTTGGATGTATTGTGATTTGTCGCGCCCAGATAATGATGATACTTGAAATTAAATTGCTTTTTTTTTGAAGTTTTTCAATGAGAACCGAAATGATTTCAATTAAAATTTCAATTGTCATTTCTTTCTTTCGGTTGTTTGTTGTTATTACCAAAAAAGCAAAAAATTTCAAAACCAATATTGTTGTCAAAATTACGACCACTAATGAAATATCATTTTGGAAATAGATAGAAATTGCTACACCACCTTCAAGCACACCCAGGAATGAAATGATAACATTGACTTGCTAGAAACAGAAATAAAAAATTCTGAAAATTACGGAAACATTTCCCTGAAAACATTTCTCAAAATTATTTAACAAAAAAAAAAGTTTGCTGGTCTATATTTTGCAATACACGAACGAACGTCATCGCCATATACATTTTTTCCATGATAATATTATGTAACCAATTTCGACAAGAGAAAAGTGAAGAGTGAAAAAGCATTATCAGATTATGAAAATGTGATCAGAATTCAAATGCTGTTGAATATATTCTATTCTACTTCAGACAAAAAAATGAAGAAGAATATTCTTTTACACAGTTATTTTATCGTTTTTTTTTCTTTGTTGATGACAATATGACAAATAGATAAATTAAATCGGTCAAAATGAGAGTGGAACTAGAACAAAAAATGACAAAATCAATCAATCAATTCGGGCAAAAAAATTCTAATCGATTTTCTGGGCAGTGAAGTAAATTTGTTGAGAAAAAAAAACAACTTACCCCTTTTATTTCGTTGATCAAAGAAGAAAATTTTAAAAATGTTTCGAAACAAAAAACAATTTGAATGAAACTTTCTCTCTCTTTGTTTTGTTGAACTGTTCCAATTGGATAAAGCAAAACGAAACAAAATCATGACGTTTAACAAACAACAACAACGAAATTTAATTTTGTAAAACTAAAAATACTGAGAAAAACGAAAAAATTGACAATTTTTTCATAAATTTGTTGCTGCGATTATGAAATTTTCCATTCACATAAACACATTTTTTTTTGCCTTTGATGATGGAACCGAACATAAAAAACAAACGGAAATCTAACAGAAAAAAGCACAAACTTTTTTTGGCATCAAAAATTTTGCATTTTAAATTTTATTTTGTATATTTTTTGCACTCAAAAAACAATGAAACAAACAAACGGAAAAATTCTTCGAAATCAATAACATATGTATGATGTCATTGTGATTATTGATGATGATCATCATTGAATGAACAAAAATTTACATGGAAAAAAAAATTTTCGATAATCAAAAATCAAAATCAATCAAATATCAATAATAAAGTGAACAAACACACAAACAGCAAAACACTGATGAAAAATGAAACAAAAAATATTTCAAAATGATGGGTTTTCATATTTAAAATCTGTTCATTCTTTTCATTACCATCACTGGATGTGTATGGCAATTTTTTTTGCTGTTTGTTTCGCGGCTAATGATGATGATCATGATAGTTGAAAGTAGAATTTATTTCAATGAATTTGTCCGAGGAAAAGAATAACAGCCGAATCTAACTGATTCTTGTTGTTGTTTGGTTGGTTGGTTGGGTTGTATATGTATGTGTATAGGCAATCCAAAACGAACATTGTATATTGGAATTCAACATGAAGAATGTAGTGAAAAAATAAAACATCAAGAAATTTCTTTTACACTGTCTGTATCAATAATGAAAAGAAGCAGAAGCAGAAGCATTCGGTTAAATTGACATTGTGAATGTCGGATAATTTCTATATATAATGATGTTGTATGCTTTTTTTGTGTTTGTTTGTTTGTTTGTTTGTTTGGGTGAAAAGCATTCATTTGAATCAATTCTTATTTTTTTCAAAATGTTTTATTTCATCGATATGATGTACTTACCTGTGATGTGTCTAACTGTGTGTCGGTGCGTGTGTGTGGGTTAATTCTTAAACTAATCTTTCATTGAAAAAAATTACGAAATAAAATACTTTTTTATTCGGTTTCTTTTTGTTAAACATCATTTTTTTTCTACAAGAAACTTAACCCTTAGGGTTATTGTTTGTTGAAATTTTATTTTTTTTCATCAAATCATCCAATTGTTTTTTTGATTGTGAAACTTGAACACAAGCACAATGATGATGTTCATCTGTTTTTTTGTTCAAATCGGAATAACATATTTTAAAATGTCAACTTTTACGTAGTTATCGTTTTTTTTAAATGTAGAATATTCTGGAAACCCGAATAATGTTCATGTGGAATGATTAAGTCAAACAAAAACGAAACAAAAAAAAATCGTAATAAACGAATGACATTAATTTCAATATTTTCATTCTTACTTTTGCAGCAAAAGAATATTTCTTTTTGCTGATTCTGCTGAATTTGCAAAAAACCTTTATGGCAAAAAAAAACCTTATGGATTATGGATCATCATCATTGATTGCCTAAATCACATTCTTATTATTGTTGCTGTTCCAAAAGTAATGTTTACAATAAACGAACAATTATCGTTTTTTTTGTGGACAAAATTACTAAATTATAATAATGATTGCTGTTTATTGGTGTACGAAACGTTAACACAATGTTTGCAGTTCCTGTTCCTATTTCTATTACTGTTATTTTCTGTAAAACAGGCAGAGATTGTAAATAGAAGTTTTCCCATAAAGTTTCTGAACTTTTTTTCTGAACTTTTCATTATCCATAGCGCATTGGAAAAAATCATTGAATATTATCAATAAGAACATATTCAGAGAGAAAATATTTGATTCTTCTTCTTATTCTTTGGACGCCAACATGAAAAATCAAATATTTGATTTGTGTTTGGCTGGTTGTTTGTTTATTGATATTTTTTAGCGGGTAGCCCCTATAGATAGATTTATTACACTTACTTACTTACTTAAAGAGAAATTCTGTAAACGGAAATGTCCAAATTCCGTTTCTGTTTTGTCATTATAATCATATTGACATTATCTACAAACACACACAATGATTGAATAATTTACTTTTGGCTCAATGCCAAAAGCGAAAAAAAAAAATTTCTCTTAAATGGATTTTGATTTTATTTGATAAAAGCATTTAAAGATATGATTTTCTTTTCCACTTTCTTTTCTTTCTTCCCAAAATGATGATAAAAAACAATTGATAATGTTATTGATAAATTATAGATACATTTGGTGATGTTTGTCTTCTTTCTTCGGTTGATAAAAAACCAAATTTTCTGCCATATAAAATGAAGGAAGATTTTTTCGCTTCACAACAACGAAAACAAAAATTTTCTGCAAATCATCGATATCACGATATTCATCAGCAAACAACGAAAATGAATGAAAATAACGACAACCAAACAATTTCATTAACAAAAAATTTAGATTGCGAAAAATCTGTCGATCAATTATTGGATCAATTGGTGAAACCGAAAAATCATCAAGAAACTGATGATTTTTATTCAATTTGGGCATCTAATTATGAAAAGGTAAGGCTAATTTTTATCAAAAAGAATATCATTGCGTGTAGTTTGAAATATCAAAGATCACCATCATTCCCGTCAATTCGGCCATATTTTGATGTTGTTTTTTTTCAAACAACTAAATGAGAATTCAGTGATGGTTTTCTCTCTCTTTTCTCTCTTTGAAAAAAAGTGTTGTTTCACATCAAGATTGTATTGATGATAATCGAATAAAGAAAGAAAGAAAGAAATTGAGTGCAAGTGTGAGAGAAATGGTTTTATGGCTAACCATTGTGTGTACCCAGAAAAAAAAATCCATTTAATCATCATTGGATCATTACTTTGTTTCTTTCTTTGTTTGTTAATGATAACATTGATCCATCTGATTATTAGATTGAAGCTTTATATTTCTTTCTTCGTTTTGTTAACATCAATAACGATGATGATATCCATCACCATTATCATCATCATAATGAAAATGAAAAAAAAAGAAATTATGAAATAATGGAATTTTACACAAACAAAGGTCATATTGTCTTTATGACTTGTTTCATTTTCTCAATTTTGGCTTGAAAATCAATTTTTCTTTCTTTTTTGGCATCACTGTGTTTCGTCAGATTTTTTTTTCTCTCTCTCTCTCTCTCTCTCTTTTTCTCGATGATAATTGATGATTATTATGTGGCTGCTGCTACTACTGTTATTTATTTTTTTTTAATAAAAAAAACGGCAGTTTTTTGAAACAGAAAAATCGAAGGACGNAATTTGATCTCGAAACCAAAAAAAAAAAATATGCAGGATATTAAAGAAATGGATTATAATGGTGGCCATATTGCAGCCAAATATTTTCTACAAATGAATTTTAATAAAAATGATAAAANACACACAATCGATTCACATCATCATCATCAATATCCTGTGTGATATATCCATAACAATTTGATGAGGAACACAAGAAAATCAAAACAAACAACAACTAAACAAAAGTCAAACATTGCATATGCAATGTTTGATTGCATTGAACCAAAATAAATAGATAAAACACATATATAAACCGTTTTTGTCGGTTGTTGATGATTGTGTGGTTTGTCGTTTAAAAATTTTTTAGTTTATTTAACACTCAATCGACAAGTGGTTTATTCTTAAATTGATTATAATTGTATTGGGGCGTTTTTTTGTCTACAATTATCATTCAATCAAGTGTTTGTGTTTGTGTGTGTGCAAGTTTACAATTCCTCAACACATCAAATCGAATCGAATCAATCAATCAATCGATTTGATATTTTCTGTTCATTTTCTTTTGGCTGATGATTGGAAAAATTGATTGGTTAATAAGAAACAGCAGTAGAAAGAAAAGAAAACATGCAACAAATTACGACGTAGTAGTCATAATTATCATCGTTATCTAAACAAAACAAAAAAATGTTATTAGTTTGTTTCCATGAAAAAGATGTATTTCAACAATGTATTTTAATGATGTATTTTGATGAATAACTTTTCTTTATTGATCTTTTCAAAAAATTCAAATCAACAATAATATACCTCTATGATATTAAATGCGGTTTTCTCTTCTTTTTTTTCTCTCTCCAATTTCCGTTTGTTTTCACATTTTGAATATTTGATCTCGAAAAAAATATGCAGGATATTAAAGAAATGGATTATAATGGTGGCCATATTGCAGC